TTTAGTTCATAGATTAGATTCTGGAATTTTAGTTCATCGATTCTGAAATTATAGTTCATCGATTCTGGAATTTTAGTTCATATGTTGTTGTTGGGAATCGAACCTGATTTTTTTTTTTAAGGGGAGACGCGCATTTTTAATAAAACGACGTCGTTTTTGTGCATACGGATGCACAACATAATTTGCCCTCTTCTCTCCGCTCTAACTCTCACACACACACACACACACACTCTCTCTCTCTCTCTCTCTCTCTCTCCCTCTCTCTTCCTCTCTCTCTCTCTCTCTCTCTAACTCTCTCACACACACACACACACACACACACACACACACACACTCTCTCTCTCTCTCTCTCTCTCTCTCTCTCTCTCTCTCTCTCTCTCTCTCTCTCTCTCTCTCTCTCTCTCTCTCTCTCTCTCTCTCTCTCTCTCTCTCTCTCTCTCTCTCTCTCTCTCCAAGATATAGAGTTCTCCCCTCTCACTAGAATAGGCAATGTGCCATGTAACACACAAGAACATCAATGAATAAAAAAGATATTTGGAGCTACTTTCTCTTGTCTATTCTCTATATTGTCCGTACATATATTACAGTTCATATATACACGTACAGCCGGGAATTAACCGTATCATCCGATATCCGGACTAAACTTGTATTATGATATAATATAACTAAAAATATCTGAATCAATAATCAATTGAGTTCAATCAAAATCTTAAACTTTATATAGAGTTGAATTTTTAATTTTGATAATGTGAATAATGTCTAAACTTTAAGCGTAAGTAAATAAGTTATGTTTAAATAAGTAATGCAAGTAGAAAAGATAAACGATGGTGATAAGTAAAAGAAGATGATAATGAATGTAATTATAGTAATAAATAAATATGTAAGTAGATAATGGTGGGAATGTGGTTATAGTGACATACAACCAAATAGATTATAAATGATTTTGTTTTCTATTTAGAAAATAATTTTTAAAAGTTTTCTAACTTCTCAAATTCTCTTTTTTTCCCAATTAAATGTGTACACTTAGAATCAATTTTTTAATAATTCATTATCTATTTTAAACATATAATAATATAACAAATTCTTCATCTCAATTAAGAAAATCTAAAATCACTTTGACTTTACCTAAATTGAAAGTGGTCACCGCTCAAATTAATAACTCATAACGACCATTTAAAATATTATGCCCATCCCATTTATGCTGATTTTTCTAACACTATCGACACAAAATAAATAAATAAATAAAAGAAGAAAAAGAACAATAATTGCAAGTACATCTATATACGAGCTAGTATGATTCGATCTTTTTCATTTTATCTGTCTTTTATTTTTTTAATAATTCATTACTCAAATTATTTATTTTTTTCTTCATTTGGTAATTTCTTTTTATAAATTTTAAATTCATCGTTAATAATATTTTAAATATTGTTTCTAAATACAATGTATATAAATTTTATTCACTAATACTACGTTAAATATTAAAATTAATTTTAAATGATCCGAATCAAATTTTGTTAATTGAACTAACTAGACTCAAAATGAGACAATAGTGCATTTTTGTATTTCTTTGTTATTTGACATTTACATAAATTTTGGACTAATTCAAGATGAAATTACTATCAAATTTAGTAGTGTGAGTACACGTACGTTATGTCGTTATTTATATGGCACAAATTCTTGGATAATTACAACTTTGATTTCCAATATATCTTTTTGTTGGCCACCTTAATTCCTTTTCATTTCTTTATTAATGGTCGGTCGATATATTCTAGAAGCTTGTGCATAGATTAGGTTTTATTTACCCACAGAATTAGAGATGTTTTACAATTACTTTTTAAATTCTATAATTCACAAACTACATAGAAGATAGTAAGAGCATGTAATTGAACCCGTGACATTATGGTACTAAAATTATGTCTCATTCACTTGACCATTTCTTTTGAAGAAATGAAATAGGAAAGTATTTATATTTTCATCTAGAAAAAAGGGAGTTATTTTATTTTATTTTTTAAAATTTATAATTAAATAATTATCGAACAATAAGTTTTGAAAATGTAATAATATTAAATGCAAAATATAAATTTATAAGTTTTAAAAATGTAACTCATTGATACATTCACGATCTGCTGAACAACATCTTCCTCATCAAGATCAGTCAGAGTGAGATGCGCAATAGTCGTTGAAGCCATACTCAAAACAAACAAGCAGAAGCCGATACGAAAACCAGAAGATACTCACACTCGGAGAAGACAAAACTCGCGAAGGAAGCGAGAGAGAAATTTTACATGTTATTTTAAGAAAATAAAAATCAATCGACCGAGTTGACCACCGATACGGCTGAGTTGAGTGATAACTCAACAGAGTTAGGCGCCCAACTCAGTGCCTAGGGCGCCTAGTCAGTAGACAAAAAGTCGCCTAAGGTTGAAATTTCCTTGAGTTAGGGGTGCCTAGCGCCTAGGACGATATTACAACCTTATATATATATATATATATATATATATATATATATATATATGGGTTGGCTCCTATGAGAACCAACCCCTATGTGAGAACTATGGACTAACAGTAACACCATAAATTTTACAAGATCAATGGTCAAATGTGGCTCCCAAATTTATGGCTGAATCCTGGAAATCTAGGGTGCATGCATAGCTTAATAACTAATTAAGGGTAAATCAGTAAACGAGGAGCCCAATAACTAATCCCAGAAACACATTGCACAACCGACAACAGCAAGGTGCACAATTCTTAACAATGGGTTGCACAACCAACACATGCGAATGCACAATCGTACCACCCAGAATGCATGCTCAAATACAAAGGCTACACTACCTAAACACAAAAACATATAATAATAATAATAATAATAATAATAATAATAATAATAATAATAATAATTTATTTCAAAGAACTCAGGAATATGCTAATACTAACTCTCTTTCTCATATCTCCTCCCCCTTCTCCTATCAAAATAGTTATTCCCCGAGAAAATAACTCATTCTTAAATAAGCCTACTTACGAGAATATTATTCCATCCCACATATTCTTTGAATCAAATTGTTCTTAAATGTGCAACTAGTCTTATAGATAATGTCACAAGGTAAACATAGTATCAATATATATATATATATATATATATATATATATATATATATATATATATATTGCAAGTGGAATTATCCTTATTAAATTCTTCATTTCACACTTGAGTCCAAGATCTGAGGATTTGAGTGCAAATCTATTCAATATAATTGCAGTCCATAATTTTTTAATCTGAAAATGCATAACTGGAAGCCGGATTGAGACAATAATGGGGTCTCATTTTATGTTATCACACTTTTTGTATAGTAGAATCACTTGGGTGTTGTTCTTCCTCTTTTTCCTTTCTTTTCATTTATTCATTTCACTATTATTATATTCAAAATAAAACTTTTGTGGTCCCAACACAACATTTGGTCTGAAAAAATGAAGGCTGGTTAGGGCCGGAGATCTCACCTTCACCCCTTGTAGGAATGGGAAATTAGCTACATTGGTGAATAAGATTTTATAGATTTTGATGAGCTCATGTTGTTATGAGATAATATTAAATAGAGTTTTTCTAAAGGATTGATTGACACCGGAATCATAAGTACTGAGTACAATTAAAAAATAATGCTCGCATGGGCAGCTCAGTTGGTCAAAAGAGTAAAATTTGAGACCCAGAATTGTCACTAGCGACAGTGTGGGAGCAATCTCTCAAAGTAAGAGGGACTCTTTGTGTGCAGTAAGCAAAGTTTTAGCCTTTGTGTTCAACTGAATTACCATGATTTACATCCTCGCAGATACTCTGTCAAGTCAGGGCGTAGGGCCCTTGGATTGGGGATTCAACCTTTTGAGAACAACAATTAAAAAAAGAGTAAATACCCAAAATGGTCCCTCAACTATAGCTAAATTCACAAATTGGTTCTCGACTTTCAATTTTAACCAATTAAGTCCTTAACTTTGCAACTTTAACACGATTTGGTCCTTCGAACACTTCTGCATTAACGCCGGCGCCCGCGCCGTCATCGACGATCTCCAGAAGAACCCGCAGCTCTCACCAGAGCACTTCACCGGAGCACATAGAGGTCTCCAGGATGACGCTGCACCGGTTCGAAAACACGTTGTCTTCTTCACTCTGGTACGAACTCAACTACATTGAATCAAAAGGGAGGATGAAGAAAGACGACAGGATTTGGTAGATTGCTTTCGGCGGCGGATTCAAATGTAACAATGCAGTCTGAAAATGCAATCGGAACCTTAAAAAATTGACGATGGACCATGAAATTACATATATATCCTCAAAAATCACAGTCAACAAAAGGTCAAATAGACGGAGAACCAAATCGTGTTAAAATTACAAAATTAATGACTTAATTGGTTAAAATTGAAAGTCAGGAACCAATTTGTGAATTTAGCTATAGTCGAGGGACCATTTTAGATATTTACTCTTAAAAAAAATAGTATACTAGCTAGATGGTACTTATTATCCATTTACAATTGAATATATATTCAAAATTGTGTTCAAGGATGATCCTCGTAGATACTAACGTTAGTACTCCGTATTATTTTGGGTAACGCCCCATTATAAGCGCAACCATCAGCTCAAGGGAATCAAACTCATAACCTCACAGGGGCAGCGCGATCAGGTTCGCCCTTTGCCACTGCGCCATATGGCACTAACGTTAGTATTATTGTTGGGATACATAATTGTCAATAAAAGCATAAAACAATACGTGTTAGAAGAGCTCCACATCTGGTGAAAAACAATAGTTTTGACTACATTAAATAATCAAGAAAGTGGTGATCTTTTACACACATACTATTTGCCCAAATGAAAAGGACATATTTTACCAGAGATAAAAAAGATGAAGAGAGAGTGAATTGGTGGATGATGAAGAAAGAAATGAGATGAGATTAGAATGATCTCCATTCTCCATAGATGACTGGACTCTCTCTCTCTCTCTCTAGCTTTAATGTTCAAGATAAAATATGATGATAAAGACAATAAACATTATTCCATCCATCTTTCAAAGACAAGATGATCACCCACATCAAAAGAGTCTGAGAATATCTATGAATCTAACCCCCCCTTACTCATCCAAGTTCAGAAAAGCAAACATGTCTGCATAAAAGCAGGCACACAAATTCTTATTATATTGCCCGGTTTGGATTCCATGGCCAATCTCAAGATATAAAGCAGCCACACAACACTCGATTATCTATCTGTAAAACAAAAACAAAAACAAAAACAAAAACATCATAGTACAACGTTGAAGCTAAGGCGGGGGGGGGGGGGGGGGGGGAGTGTTTGAAAAACAAAACAAAACCATGATTCCGACCTGGTTGTCGATTTGTTGGGTGCTAGGTCATGAAGACTGACTCTGGCAATGGCAGCATACTGGCAAAACAAAAGACTCTTTCTTTCATTGTTTTCTCCGACTTTCGGCCCTAGCTATTATGCAGGTCCCAACCAACAGCTATAGTCTATAGATCTTCCCTCAATAACAACACATTTATTCCAATTTCACGTGTCATATGGACCCCCAAATACCATGCCTGCACCCCCCGGTCCACCCGTCGCTTTCATAGATCTGAATTTAGATACGATATGTTTTGAATCAAAACTTACCAAACTCATATCCTCAAAGTAACAAACTAAAGAAACCACCGAGCCATGCACAACTGTTACCTTTCCTATAATGGCAAAGCTAATCCTCAACATAGTAATTGAGTAAAGATTACGATGGTTTTGTTTTTAATGGAAAAAATATTTTAAAAAAGGTGAAAATATGGAATCAACTGTAAGTGAAAGTGAAAAGATTTGGGAAATCTTTGTTGTGACTTTTTTTTTTTTTTTTGGGGCCTTCAACTTGGCATATGTGATGTTGTGTTCCTATAAATTAAAGAAGCAGAAAAAAGGGAACTAAAAATATTTCTCAGACTATCCCACCAAAAGTAGCAAGTCTTCATACGGAATGCTTACCATTGAAGATTGAAGGTTGAAGATCGGTTGACTCTCCCACCCAAATCTCCCTTTAAATTTCCTCCTCGACTCTTCACCCTTCCCCGTTCTCGCCTCTACTTTTTCTTTTACTTTGAGCCTGAAAAACAACAGAAAGTTTCCGCCTTTGCCTTGCCAAAAACTCTCTGGAAGAATTTAACGGGGAAAAGCAAAAAAAAAAAAAAAAAAAAAAAACAAAAACAGAAAAACACAATGAGATACCTTCCAATCTGTCTTACCAAACAAAAGAACACTCTCTTCGTAACAATCTTGTTACTAAGCTGCATAACTATAAAACTCGACCTCTGTTTCTCCAGTGTCCCGTCTTCGCTGAAGGCGCTTCAGCTCCACGGCCATTTCAGCTTCGAGAACAACGAATTTGCCGCCAGAGATTTCGGCAACCGATATCGTCTCCTCCCTTTGGCAGTTTTACACCCCAAGTCCGTCGCTGATATTTCCACAACCATAAAGCACGTTTGGCAAACGGGGCCAGGTTCAGAACTAACAGTTGCAGCTAGGGGCCATGGCCACTCGCTCCAAGGTCAGGCGCAAGCACACCAAGGAATCATAATCAACATGGAGTCGCTCCGTGGAGGTGACAACATGCGTGTTCACGAAGGACGCTTCCCCTACGTGGATGTCCCGGCTGGGGAATTGTGGATAAACGTGTTGCATGAGACCCTGAAATATGGATTAGCTCCGAAATCTTGGACGGATTACCTACATCTTACAGTTGGCGGGACTTTGTCCAATGCAGGGATCAGCGGGCAGGCATTTCGACATGGCCCCCAAATCAGTAACGTCCATCAGCTCGAGGTCGTTACAGGTATGTATAAGACGCTAATATACACTGCATAACAGAGACACCACACTGCTGGAAATTATGGAATTTCCGACCACTTGAAAGTGATCTTAAATCAAGACGAAAGCAAAAAGTGGTCGGAAATAGCAATAAAGGTTTTTTCGGATACCAAAAGTGATCGGAACAAGGCTTTCGACTTGATTTAAGATCACTTTCAGGTGGTCGGAAATTCCATAATTTTCAGTAGTGCCAATCAATGGGCAACAACCAAATATCTGTAACACGGCCTAAACTGATTGCAGGGAAAGGAGAAGTTGTAACGTGTTCAGAAGAACAGAATGCTGACCTCTTCCATGGAGTGCTGGGAGGACTCGGGCAGTTTGGGATAATAACTAGAGCAAGAATCTCTCTGGAGCCAGCGCCAAAGATGGTAAACGAGCATATACATAATAAACGAACTCGAGCCCTGTAACAGATTTCTAAGATTATCTTCGATTGTTAACAGGTGAAATGGATAAGAGTACTCTACTCAGATTTCTTCACATTTTCCAGAGATCAGGAGCGCCTAATATCTGCAGAAAACACATTTGATTACATAGAAGGGTTGGTGATTAAAAACAGGTCAGGACTGCTGAATAACTGGAGAGCATCCTTCGACCCGAAAGACCCAGTTCAAGCAAAACAATTTGTATCAGACGGAAGAACACTATTTTGTCTCGAATTGACAAAAAATTTCGATCCCAATAATGCAGAGTCAGTAAGCAAGGTAAGGCAAAGCACATCGCATCTTGTAAGAGAGTATTATTCTTATTTACTCCAGGTTTCAGGGATATACTCTAAACTGATTCTTAAATTGACATTTCCAGGAAATCGAGAGCTTATTATCCCAATTGAGCTACGTACCATCAACTCTGTTTATGTCAGAAGTTTCTTATGTCGAATTCTTGGACCGAGTTCATGCATCAGAGAAAAAACTGAGAGAAAACGGATTGTGGGATCTCCCTCACCCGTGGCTCAACCTTCTAGTTCCTAGAAGCAAGATACAATCTTTTGCTTCAGAAGTCTTTGGCAATATTCTACGAGATACGAGCAATGGCCCTGTTCTCGTCTATCCAGTAAACAAGTCAAAGTAATAATCTTACAAAATATATCCTTTACTCAAGATTTAACAACCCTGTAACATCGTTCACAGTACATTTTTTTTCATCTTTTTTTTTTAGGTGGGATAACAGGACTTCATTTGTTCCTCCAGAAGAAGATATCTTTTACCTGGTGGCCTTCCTATCACAAGCAAATCCCACATCCACAGGAACCGACAGCTTAGCTCATATATTAACTCAAAACCAAAGGATTCTTGATTTCTGCGAGGATGCGCATCTTGGGGTAAAGCAATATCTCCCTCATTACAAGACACAGGAGCAGTGGCGGGCCCACTTTGGTCCACGCTGGGAAGTCTTTGTGCAGAGAAAATCAACTTACGATCCATTAGCTATACTTGCTCCTGGTCAAGGAATTTTTCGAAAAGCAATATCAGTTTTATGACACATGCTGCCTTTAAGTAATTACCGAACACAAATGACCTTGCAGTTCCTTAGCTCATCAGAAGAAAATTATTAGATGTCATTTTGCAGAAGATACTGGAAAATAGTATCCCCAAAAAGAAAATATATACCAAATATCCAAGTGAAAAGTAAATTACATATTTTAAGTTCTTGACTGATGCTTTGTGATAACTAGAGGGTACCATATTCCCTATCTTTTATGACTAGCCTATGATAATGCACATATTCCTCTTATGGTCCATATCTTTTTATCCACTTCAAAACTTCAACCTCTTAATTGTAAAAGTAGCTATCTATAATCCCCCAACAATACAAAGTTAACCACTTTTAATTCTTTTGTTAATAGTGCCATTAAATTTGGATGGTATCCGTGACAAAGGAACTATTGGTCGATAACTAAGTACGAAACAAATTGAAAGAAAAGTTGTGGCTAACTTTATCCTCCGCTGTTAGCCACTCAAATATGCAAAGTTAGCCACCATCAAGAAAGCAATGATGTCAATAACAGTGCTTAACGTCACATAATTGAGGGACCACGAGTAGCCCACTTTTGAACACAAAAATGGTAAAAATAGAGACCAAACAAGGACTACTAATGAGAATAATGGAATATTAGAAAACCGAAAGAAACATTTATATATGACGATGAGATATTTAAAATAACAGAAGCAAGTTAAGCTATGCCAAAGTTAAACATTTGCTCAAATAAAGGAAGATCCAAGTGAGCACCTCTATATTCACTCCAGAACCTTTCTTCTAAACATAAGTGATTCTTCCAAAAACATGGTCACAAAACACACAAACTTCCACACATTCATTGAAAAAAAGAGAGATATTTTTCTTCAGTACTAGGTGGCTAGCATGAATACAAAATAGGTAACGCATTAACATGACAATTCATGAACCAAAGTTTCAAAAAGGAAAGTAACTTTAACTAGTACTCCATATAAAAAGAAGGCCCTAATCAAGAACAATACAGTAGTCAATGAAATATGAGCAGCTAAAGAGCATGGCCAAAGGACATGTAAAAGTTGCACCTGTTGAAGATTCCAAAACAAGCACAACGTTGAAAACCATGGCTTTCTTCACAAAAATCCATTCCCACAATAAGATGGTTGGCTAGCATGAATACATAATAGGTTATTAGTAACATGACTATTCATGAAAAGAAGCTTCATAAAGTAGGTTTAACAAATATCAAACAGAACCCTAGTAGAGAATAGTTTTTAAGTCAATGAAATATGAGCAGCCACAGAGCAAATCTGTAATGGCTGGCTAATCACCAATGCATCTGATGAGCCCTCACGAGTTTAGCTCAATAGTTCATTAAACTGTATTTGAGAGAAGAGACCAAGGTTTGAACCTGGGGGTGGTAATATAAGAATTATGCCTAAAATGGGCAGATCTCTCGTGCACACCGACATTTGACCATATCTGCTGAGTTATTGAGTCACTCTAATTTACATTCTCTAAAATACTCTATTGGATCGGGGTGTGGAGGGTAGTATAGGAATTATGCCTAAAATGGACAGATCTCTTGTACGCACCGACATTTGCTTAAAATGAACAGATCTCTTGTGCACACCGACATTTGACCCTATCTGTTGAGCCATTGAGTCACTCCAATTTACATTCTCTCAAATACTCTATCGAATCGGGGTGTGGAAGGCCTTGGAGTTAGGGATTCAACATTTTGAGAGAAGAAAATGCATATGCTGAATAATTACTCAAGAAAGTATTTGAATTTTCTTAACCCTATCCTTCAAGACTGTTTTTGATATTCCTTCAAAAACAAATATATGCAAAGAAGCTCTCTCTTTACAGCCTTAACCCTATCCAAACGTTAGACAAAATCAGCACAACTATTGGGCAATTCGAAAGGCTACATATACAATTTTTTACAAAATGTCAATTGTGATTGTTTTTGAGACATATTACATAAACTATATTGTGAATCCTAAAAACATCCAGTTCTTCTTTCGAGTGTTTAAAAGAGGGAAAAAGATCATTCTTGAGCAGATTATGAAGAACAATTGCAATTTGCAAAGAAGAAGAAGAAAGATTTTTGTTTCTAAAAGGAAGTACCGCTTTTGTTTTTTCAATTCTAAAGCTGAATTTGTTAAAAATTACGTTTAGAAGAACAAAACTTTATAAGAATGCATACTAACGACCACTGATGTTTGTCGATTTTGTGATATAACTACAAAAGCTTAACAATTTATAGTGCGCTTTGAGCACGGTGTACATAAGAAATCACACAATCCCCTAACAAGTAATTTTGGCACACTTTTTGTAAAAAGTATATGTGACTCGGTAGTAATTTCTTATAAAATTTACGATGTATTTTCTATAATGAGATTTTTCTATATAAAAAATATTTCATCTGGATAAAATTATTTGTTCTTTCTTGTAAGCATTGAAAATTTAAATGAGTTAATTTGTGTATTATTAAATCTTAATGGATAATTGGTTATTAAATTAATTATTTTAATTGGATTAATTAGAAAATATTTATTTATTTGAGTTAATTAAATGGTCCAATAAATAATTAATTGGTTTAATTATTTAATTAAGGGTAATTGTCTATTGGATTGCTATCTTAAATTGAAGGAATATTTAATGGAGTTGGATCATGCTATTTGGATTAATTGGGCTGCTTAATTGACGGGTTTTGACTTGGTTTGGCCCATCAAAATTATATGTGGAATATAATTTGGAAGAATTTTGGATAATTGAATATTATTTGAAATTGGTTGGAATCATGAACCTGGACGTGATGGTGTCCCGATACATTTCTCATATTTAATCCAAATAATTAAATTAAATTTGAGAATTATCCAAAAGGATAAAGGTTGTTAGAGTTTTCCTACCCTCACCACTATAAATAGTGGTTTCATTTTGGAGGAAAATGAGCTCTGAAGATCTGCATATCAAAACTCTGCCAGATCTTGTCAGGAACACGTCATATGAGTACCGGAAGCCCTTCTTTGAAATTACGTCATATGTGTACCGGAAGCCCTTCTTTGAAATTAAAGATCATCGGAAACCCTTTTTTGAAGATCAAGCTACATATGAGCTCATTCATCCAAGACCATGCTACTTAACTCCGGAGGCCCTTCATCAACGAACTAGGACGATTCAACATACTTATAGTAGAGAATCATATGACTTTTCTTATCCAGGGATTGTACCACTTACTTCATTATAATTGATATACTTTGAATATATATATACAATTCAAGTTTTCACGTTTACACTTCTCATCCCATCTTTTACCCAAAAATTTCCTTGTGTCTTTTACCTGACTTTTTAATGAAAAAGAAGAAAGGAAAGGAATATCGATTTTATACCTAAAATACAAATAAAAAATCACTAAATATATTATTGATGGAGATATTAGAAACGACCCAATAATAGAGACTCGGGGTCTGGAGTGCATAACCCGAACAATATAAGAAGAATCGAAGCCCGTCTTTGGGCCTTGACTTAGTTTCATGGCTCACCACATGGTCTTGGACTTAGTCTCGTGGTCCTCCACGAATTTAGCACTAATTGGTTGTTATTTACTTTGTATAAATAGCTTATATCTAAGTTAGACAAACATGTTCAATTTCCCTACAACACATATCATGTCTCATTCTTACAATCTACTTGTAATACTCTGACTCTATTCCATCTAGTACCAACACAATACCATGCAATTGTTTGCTTTTTATTCTTTATATTTTACACGAGCTAGTTGATCCATACATAATTATATACTCGAGTCAATTAATTCCATCAATTATAAAATTATTTGTAATTAGATATCTCTTTTATTTCTCGGTATTCATAAATAATTATAATATTTGAACATATATCCACCGTGTTAAGAAAATAAATATAAAATATAATTTCAATTTTTTTTTGTGTGTGTGTATAAATATCTAACTAATACTCAAATAATTATAACTAATCTTGTAAATTTTTTTAAAAAAAAATTATAGATCAATAATTTCAATAGCATATAACAATTATTAATTTTTTAAAAAAAATTAAATTTTTCATGTAACATCACAATTATTTTTTACGTTTTGCCACAGTATTCAAATAGGTACTTGCATCACATGGGAAAAAAAATGTCAAATTAGCTCTTTCAGTCAATGAATAATGCAATTGAACCTCTTCAGAAAAAAATATTTATTTACTTTTGGTTCTTCTCGAGCTGACACATGTCTCAATTTTTATTTTTTTAAAATATTTTTTTACTTATTGTTTTTGTTTTTTTCTAAATTTTTAATACATAGACAACATGCGGTTGTTTGACGACAACCACGTATGTCCTAAATGACGATCATAGTTGTCTAAAAAAATTCAAATTTTTTTAGACAACCATGAATAATGTCTGGTGAGACAGTGATAGTTGTCTGACAGTGATAGTTGTCTTCTTTCACGAGCAGTTATGGCTGTACGACGACAACCACGATTGTCCTAAATGACAGTCATGACTATCAAAAAAATTTAAATTTTTTAATTTTGGATAGACAATCATGACTATCTTAAATGATGTTCTTCCAATATCAGGCAATTTTAACGAAGAAAGCCACTAGGCGCTACTCCCAACAAGAGTCGAATTTGGAGCCTTGTAGTTACTAAGCCAACAACTTGATGAGCTTCGTTGGGGTTGTCCTGACAACTCTAATATTTATATTCAAACAAAAAGACAGGGATCATCTGACTGATATGTAACACAATAAGTACATTCTCTGGGTTTATATATATTCACTTGTAAGTACTAATTTACAAAGCTTGATGAATACACATGAAAAGAGTTGCATCAAAGAAAACACTGTGCTATTACACAATAAACATGACAGGCATTTGCTCTGAGTAGTTGCCAGAAGTATAATGTATATATCTGATCTAGCTACAACATGTGATTTCCTTCCACAAATATGTACAAGTACCCTACATATATATATCCATATTCTTGGTGCCAATACATAAACTAGCTATCAATCTTGTCTCTAAGTTTCACCAATAGACCTCTAAACCTCTCTACTTTCTTAACCATCATCAAGCCAGCTTAGTGGCTTGCAAGTCATTCTCGCAGTGCAACCGCATTGCCCGGCCCCTTGCCACTAGATTGGACCGCGCAATCCCCTTGCTCGAAAGGAGTGGCGGGATCGCAGTGTTTTTGGAAGGGAAAACCACTATGCCCCGCCCCCGACTCGCTATCAATCTTGTCTCTAAGTTTCAGCAATAGAGCTCTAAGCCTCATGACCTCTGCCTCAAGAACCACCTGCCTCTCTACTTTCTTAACCATCTGCTCATTCACAGCTCTCAATTTCCTCACTTCCTCCTCTAAGTAAGCCGTGTGAGCCTTCTTCTTCTCTCGATACTTCCTAACCGCTTCTCGATTCCCAGAAGCCCTTCTTCTTGGCTCACCATCACTCTGGGAATTAGGATAGATATGGGTGTGGGTGTGAGTATAAGTTTGGGCATTATTTCTCAACATCCCATCAAGAACTGAACCAACAGATAGTGATGGCTGAACTTTAACATTATTACTAGATGAATCAGATGAATTCAGAACCAGAAAATGATCTGAGACCTCCATTTCACAAAACCTGCTAACCGGAGTTCAAAGAATCAGCAAGTTTCCTTTTAATGAAAAGAAGGGAATATTTTCACAGTGGGTAAATAATTTATATTGATTCCCAATCCCACTAAACTTTACAACACAAAATCACTCTATTCAATCAAGAAAAGCTAAAAGGTAGCAACTTTTTGAACAAAGTCCCAAGGGGGGAATATTTGGTGCTTATAAACCTTACTGAAGTGGGGGAGAGAATCAAAATTAAAGTGGGAAAACAAGAAAACGCTTGCTCGATCTTTCTCTTGTTTCCTTCTCTTTGTTTTTGTCATTCATAGAAGGGATTCTTCTGATCTGCAGATGAAAGCAACTGAGGGGGTTTACCTGATCTGATCTTTTGCTTTGCATGACTGGCCACAAATCTCTCCGCTGTCTCTGCTAACTAATCAGCTAATAATGACCAATTGCAGAATATATATATATATATATATATATATATATATATATATATATAGACCAACTGAGTGTTGTGCTTAATATGCGTGAGATTTGTGCTTAATGTGCGTGAATAGTTCAGAATTACGAACTCAGAAAGAAGCAGAACAGAAAATCACCATATAACTATGCTACCCATATAGTCATGATAAAATATATGTTTGCACCAGCACCCTTTTCGCACCTTCATTTTTAAGAATCTGAGCTATGCTACTGAAAAGAGAAGCACCCATATAGTCATGATAAAATGTTTGCACCAGCACCCTTTTCACACCTTCATTCTTAAGAATCTGAGCAAAAGCATCGAGAGAGCTCTTGTACTTGACGGCTTCACCAGATGTCATCATCATTGGGTAAGAAGCAATACCAGCACCATTTGTGATAACCCATCCGAGAACAAAGCTAGCGAAGAAACTATCCTGTAGGTTTCCACTTTTCTGCTGCATTTTACACGCACATTAAGTACAAATCTCAGGCACATTAGATACAACACTCACGCACATTGAGTACAAATCTCACGCACATTAATAACTGCACAACCGCACGAGAAGCATTCACCCGCACGGGAACCTGAGTCTATATATATATATATATATATATATATATATATATATATATATATATATATATATATATATATATATATATATATCAACTCCAATTGGACTATGGAAATAGTAACCTTGTAAATTTCTGACTCAGGAACAACTAGGGGGCGTTTGGTTTGCTGCATATGAGAATGACTTCCATTACAATGCTTCTTTTTTTTTTTTTCCTGATTTTTAGAATTACAGCATCGGAATGGAAATCTCAAAAACATTGCCTACTTCATTCCCATTTTGTAGTGTTTCTTTTCTCTCTTCTGCAAACAGCTGCCATCATTTTTTTTTTTTTTTAACTTAAATTCCGGTCTGAGGTTGTACATAAACAAGAATTTTAATGGAGCTATGGGCTTGATACCAATGACAATTGGGGTCAAAGAGTAGAAATACGAGAGTGAATTGGGTTTAGGCAATAAAAGGAGCTCATGGATATTTTATGCCAATCATTATCATATGGACCATGGTCCACAAAATTGTATGAACCATAAATAAAATGTACATTTTTAATAAGAAAAATACTACATCCACCCTCATTTCTTACTCTTAACTTTTATTTCCTCTCACAAATTCTTGATGTAGACACATTCTTTGGAACCCACATGATGAAAATAATCAATCTTTATTTGCCTGTCATGAAATGTGAAGGAGTAGAATTGAGAGTATATGTAGTAGAACTCTTTTTAATATACTAAAGTTCATTATTTGTATACGTAAAGTACATTTTTTAAAAGTACATTATTTGAATACTGAAAATATATTATTTTATATATCAAATAATGTACATTCGGTACACAAATACTTTACTTTTAACAATTGTTATATGGTGCACCAGGGCGCACAATGCATTTGTTCGCCCTTGATACTGCTAATTCTACGTAAGCAATATAAAGAACACAAGACCAAGTAAAGCAAGTAAGTCTTTATTGATCAAGGTAGAGGCCCTAAGTACAATCTACTTGGTTGCTCTGAGTACCGACTGACTGCGGTCGGGAATCTCTAGTTACAACCTATCGATCGTCCAAAAGTCCCCTACACTGTAGCTACTGTGGGTATTTATAGCCGCTGTGCCGGAGACAAGATTCCAGCCGTTCGGCATGCTCTCCACGTAGCCTCCACGTGTCCTCCTCCCGGGTGCCCTGTCTGTCGTCGTAGAGAGCCGCCACGTGTCTTTAGTCAGCTCTCTCGCCGAAGGACTACCGCTCGGGGTTGACACCATTGCTCGGGCGACTCCCGGTCGGTTCCCGACCGGGTTCTTCTCAAGGAGCCCGACCTGTTACCTGCAAAGACAGAGAAAAGGACAAAAGGCTCCTCGGTCGTGGTGAAGCTATGTCGGTCGGGATATTCCCTACCAAGAGCCCCCCAGCCCGGGCCTTTTTGATCAGTCGGGAAAAAACGGGACGGGATGAAGAAGCCCAACCGTCAGCCACCAAGCCGACCTGCCAGCTGTCATTCCCTTCTACGCCACGTGTCGGCCCCTGCCGGCCTCGGCGATCCCATCCGTCGCCTCGGATTCAGCGCGGGTCGCGTCAGGCAAGTTGACCCATTTCCCGCCTAAAGGCCCCCCTATAAATAGGCCCTTGAGGCCCTCATTTGAACTTTCCTCACTCTTTCGCATCAGTCGGTACCCTCAGAGAGTCCCGAGCAGAGCAGCTTAGCAAGGCAGTCGAACAAGCAAACTTCAACTTTCAAGCTTCAAACTTCAATCTTCCTCCAATCGGTAAGCTCCTAACCCTCCTCTTTACTTTAGGCTCTCATTTATAGGTAGAACTGCTAGGTCAACTAACTGTCCCGGACGTCTCAAGTCCCTACTAACTCCGACCGACCTTTAGGTAGATCGATATGACGGACTCAGACAGTCAAAACGCCTCGATTGCTGATTACGACGAGGAGGTCGAGCACATCAGCGACGAGGAGGTGGACATTATGTCCTACACCCCGGACGCCAGTCCCCGAGCGACGCCAGCCCCCGAGCAAGCCGCCGAGCGAGACAATGCATCAAGCTCCTCTGGATCGTCAAGCTCAAGTTCGAGCGGATCGGGGAGCTCCAGCGAAGAAGAAGAAGAGAGGACCACGTCAAGCGGGCGGGGTCCTCCAACCGAGGGCGTTAGGGAAACGCCTACCCGGGTGGTTGGGGACCACCCGGAGGCTGCTCCTCGAGGGGGTGATCGAGAAAATACCCCCGAGCAGACCGAAGAAGACCCGGCCGGGCCGGCCACACCAGCCGTCGAGCTCGAGTTCTTGAACAGCGAGAGTGTCGAGCAAGAAACGAGCCTGCTGACCAAGGGCGAAGCGGCCCGGATTGCTGAAATACTCCGGGGTCGGGCAGAATTCGACACGAGCCGGCGGTTGGGGAATGTTATCGACCGACATCGGGGCAAGTGGATCGGGATGCACTACGACTCCCTGATGGCCCCGATCGCCATTCCCTTTACCCCGCTCCTGAACGCCTTCCTGGCATACTACCGGGTTGTCCCGGCACAGATCTGCCCGAACTCCCACCGGATCCTTGCCTGCTTCCCGCAGATATGTGCTCGACACGAGGCCGAGTGCACGATGGAGTTGTTCAACTTCATCTACCAGATCAAGGTTCTCCCGGGCCGCTACGGGGGTGGGTTCCTGATGCTGCAGTCCCGAGCGGATATGTGCTCCATCAAAGGCCTGCCCGGGAACAACAAGGGGTGGAAGAACAGAATTTTCTCCATCAAATACGACCCCTGGATCCTCCCGGTCGACCGCACTTGGAGCAGCCACTTCAGAAAGCAAGTGGTGCCGGTCGAGACGCAAGCGCTGAGGGACACGGTCGGCCGGATTTCGAGCGAGGTGCACGAATACACCATCTTCCGGACGGCCGAGAGTCTGGAAGCAGCCCAGCTCCCGCCCCCGACCTACGAGCTAAGGGAGAAGTACCTGCCCGTGCCGATGGGCGTAACGGTCGCCAAGCCCTCGAGGCGAAGGAAGAAAGGTCTAACCCGAGCCGTTTATCCCGAGCTAAACTCTTATATTACGATCGCACTAACTTGGGTTTTCTTCTTTGTTTGTTTGCAGCAATGGCCGAGTTCGGTGATGAGGATGCCCCCCTTCCCCCGCCCGCCAAGATCTCTCTTGGCGGCAAGAAGAAGGCGAAGACCAAACCATCCGGGGAGAAGGAGATCCCCTCCGGCCGACCACTGAGCGCCTCGACCGTGACGACGGGCGAGGGCTTCATCGTCGAGCCCTCCGACGTTCTGATCACTCGGGTGGAGGTCGCCCGGGGCAAGGAGAAGGTCGCCGACCAGGGCGCGACCGAGGTGGGCAGCCTGAAGCGCCGCCGTGAACAGCACAGCCCGACCCCTTCGGCCGGGCGGGAAAGGGAGCCTGCATCCGTTCTGGCACGGATCGGCAATGCCGCGCCAGCCCGAGCGGACCTGGGGAAGATGACCCCGACCCAGGTTGCTGAGCGGATCGGCTACGATCTTGCTGAGGTAAGTCCCAACTGTTAATTTTTTATTGCCCTAGTATCTTTGATCGGGCTAATTTTGAATACCCCTCTTTGTGTTGCAGATCTCCCTGGCGACCCAACTTCTTCAGGGTCAAGCTATGCTGGCCGAGGAGGCTGATCACCACAAGAAGACGGCCGCTCGTCGTCTGAAGGAGATCAAGGAACTCCAGGCCGAGCTGGAGAAGACGCAGAAGGCCCTGAAGAAGGGTGACGAGGAGCGGGTGCTGGCCGAGAAGGTCGCCAGCCGGGCGATTGAGGAGGCCAGGGAGCTGAAGGCGCAGCTCGAGAACCCGAGCGAGCTGGTGCGGGCAGCCTTCAAGGACAAGGAGCTGGGCACGGCCTTCCTAACAGCAGCCCGAGGAGACGAGGTCGGGAACGAGTTGATCGTCTCGTTCGGGAAATGGGCCTTTACGGCCGGGAAGCAGAAAATGCTTGAACGCACCCGCAAGCGGTTGGAGGAGGCCCTCGACGCCGATGATCTCCAACTGGTCTTGTCGGCCTTACCCCCGGACGTGGCAGATCCCGGTCCCTCACCCTTTACCCCGACCCCGAAAGCCAAGGCAACCGAGCCTGGGGCTTCGTCGGCGGCTGCCTCGAGCGGGAAAGAGGCGACCACCAGCGCTCAGGAGGCGAAGAAGTAGATTTAGGCTTCTTTTCTTCTTTTTGTAAGAGACCTTAGTCGGGAGCCCGGTCCCGAGTTGTACCGGGCATCTTTTTTATGAATGAAAAGTTACTTTGCTTAAGTTACGCCGCTCGTCTTCCCTTTCGTACTTTTCCTTTTAAATAACGTAGAAATGTCGATCCTTAATGCTCGACCTTGCGGCCTTACGGCCCGGTCTTGCATAGCTCGACTTGTTCGAGACCCGATCCTATGGCCCAACGGCCCGATCGGAGCTTTGAGATTTCGACGTCACCTTGGCCATACGACCGGGTTTACCCGATCTCGAGGCCTTTGCCGAGAATGGTGAAGATGCGTAAGCCCCTACGGTCGGAGTATAACCGAGCGACGGGCCCGTAAGTACTCGCCGTCAAATTGGCCAACCTGAGCGGGATTACCCGGTTCTTAGGCCTTGACGAAAAATTTTCAAGCCTCTACGGTCGGAATGTAACCGAGCGACGGGCCTTATACCTTACTTCCTTATCCCAGCCCCCACACTATTGTGCGCTCGAGGCACGAGTGGGTGCGATAGTGGACAGAAGTTGGACGGATCGGGGAATGATACTGAGAGCTCCTGGCTTCCCCGATCGGTGGCGTGACTTGAGTGTCCGCCTATGTGGAGCGCGTTTTGACCGGTCGACAGTCTTCATCCGGTCGATTGAATGTTGAACTGATCTGCTTATGACGAAGGTGAGAGAAAATAACCGATTGTGCCGCCGCATACAAACGGTCGAGCAATCATCGATCGTATATACATTAAACTTTCCCGCTCGCAGGCGGTTGAACTAATTTTACAACCATAGAATTTACATAAACATGACGACCGGGACTAACTCGCAGGTCCAGCCCCCACTTCGTCTAAAAATACAAAAAATAGGCTAATGCCTAAAAAGAACGAGGTGCTCGGAATTCCAAGTCCCCTTTATTAGCCGACCCGTCGTTGTCTCTAGTCGGTATGTTCCCGGCCGGATGACAGCGTTGATGATGTACGGCCCTTCCCAGTTCTGAGCTAGCTTTCCCCCTTCTAAAGGTTGACTGGCCTCCCTTCGTCGTAAGACATAATCTCCGACTTGGAAATAACGAGGGTTAACCCGAACGTCCTTCGAGCTCTTGACGCGCTTCTGGTACTCGGCCATACGCCGAGCGGCTAGCTCTCTTTTTTCTTCGACCGCGTCGAGATCCACAGCCATGGCGTGTTCATTGTCCTCCGCGTTGTAGGTTCTCTCTCGATCGGTCGGGATCCAAGCCTCGATCGGCAGTCGGGCTTCAGCTCCGTAAACCAGGGCGAAAGGGGTCTCCAAAGTAGCCTCCCTCGGGGTCGTCCGATAAGTCCATAAGACATATGGCAACTCATCGGCCCAACTACGACCGGCCGAGCGTAACTTCTTTTTCAGACCTTCCAATATCGTCCGGTTAGCATTCTCCACTTGTCCATTTCCCTGCGGGTAAGCGACCGACGACCGGACATGAGTCGTCCCGATCGTGGCCAAGAAATTCTGAAAGTACCGGCTTACGAATTGGCGACCGTTATCGCTGATGAGATGTACGGGTACGCCAAAACGGGAAACGACATTGCGCCAAAGGAACCGAGCACACTGCTGAGATGTGATCGTGGCTAAGGGCTCGGCTTCTATCCACTTAGAGAAGTAATCAACGGCGACGATCACGAACCTTCTCCGACCGGACAGTTGAGGAAAGGGGCCCAAGATATCTACCCCCCACCTAGCGAAAGGGACTGCGGTCGTGACTGGCTGGTAGAAGGTTGCCGGTCGCCCAGGCATCCGGGCGTACAGTTGGCACGTCTCACATTCCCGAGCTAACTTTTCACAGTCTAGCTGGAGGGACGGCCAATAGTACCCGATCAGCATGATACGACGGGCCAGGGATCGACCTCCTTGATGTGAGGAGCAGATTCCCGAGTGCAGCTCCTTCATGACTAACTCGGCCTCGAATGCGGTCAAGCAACGCATAAGGGGGCCCCCATACGATCGCCGATAGAGACGACCGCTCACGACTTGGAACCTCGGGGCTCTCAGCTTGGCTTTTCGAGCACGTTGCGGGTCGTCTGGGAGTCGACCGTGCTCGAGGTATTCCTTCAGATCGGTGATCCAACTATCTTCCACCGGTTGGATCGGATTGACCGGCAGGCGATGGATACTGTGTTTGGGGATCACCAAGATTCGAGCTATCTTCGACATGTGTTCCGGGGCATCTTGGGCTAATTTGGACAAGATATCCGCATCGGCGTTATCCAATCGGGGTATATGTCGGACGGTGTACCCCCGGAACTGTGCAAGCTTCTCCATGGCGAGGTCTCGGTACAACTACAAACGCTCACCATTGACTTCATAATCTCCGAGAACTTGCCCGACCACGAGCGCAGAATCTGTCTGGGCTCGGATGTATTCAGCCCCCAAGTCCCGAGCGCATTGCAAGCCATTTACGAACGCCTCATATTCGGCTTCGTTGTTGGTCGGGTGGAACTGGTACATGAGAGCAAAATAGACTTTGAATCCTTCTGGGCTCGTGACTACTACTCCTCCTCCTGCTCCTTTTTTGCTACTTGACCCGTCAGTAGCTAGCGTCCACCACTCGGCCTCGGGATCCTCAACCTCGGGGGTCGGGTATCCCGGGCGGTGCACTCGACCAAGAAATCTGCCAGAGCCTGACCTTTGATTGCTGGTCTCGGTCGGTATTCGATCGCGTACTGGGTCAGCATTAACGCCCACTTAACTAGGCGACCTGACGATGAAGCGGTTCGGAGGACTGGTCCGATCGGCTGATCGGTCAAAACGCGGATCGCTCGACCTTGGAAATAGGGAGCTAGCTTCTTCGCGGCTATATACAAGGCATAGACGACCTTCTCTAGCCGGGAGTACCGGAGCTCGGGACCATGTAGCGCGTGGCTTACATAGTACACCGGTCGCTGGACCCCTTCCGGATCGGTTCGGCACAATACTGCGCTTACTGCACGATCGGAGACGGCGAGGTACACGTCTAGCTCTTCTCCGAACTCGGGCTTTGAGAGCACAATCGGTGACATGAGGTACTCCTTCAGCTCGTCAAAAGCCACTCGGCATTCTTCGTCCCAGATGAATCCATTAACTTTTCGCAATACCTTGAAGAAGGGTAAAGCGCGCTCGGCTAACTTGGAGAGGAACCGGCTAAGGGCTGCCAACCGACCGGTCAATTGTTGGACCTCCCGAACGGTAGAAGGTGGTTGCATGTCCAGAATCGCTTTAACTTTGGCCGGGTTGGGCTCAATTCCTCTCTTGGTCATCATGTAGCCGAGGAACTTGCCGGTCTGAACCGCGAATGTGCACTTGGTCGGGTTCAGCCGCAACTGGTACTTCCTCATGATTTGGAAGCACTCCCGGAGGTCTCGAGTGTGGTCGGATCGGTCCCGACTCTTGACCAGCATATCATCAATATAAGCCTCCATCGTCCGGCCCAATAGATCGGCGAAGAGCATATTGACCATCCTTTGGTAGGTCGCTCCTGCATTCCGGAGGCCGAACGGCATCACTCGATAGCAATACAGCCCGTCCGGGGTTACGAAGGCTGTCTTGCTCTCGTCTTCATGGTGCATCATTATTTGGTGATATCCCTTGAAGGCATCCATAAAGCTCATCAACTCGGCCCCGGCCGTCTCGTCGACCATCTGGTGAATGCTCGGTAGTGGATACGGGTCGAGCGGACAGGCCTTGTTGAGGTCCGTGAAATCTATGCACATCCTCCAAGCTGGGGGCTTTGGAACAAGAACGATATTGGCCACCCACTCGGGGTAAATGACCGGACGGATGTGCTCGATCGCCGCCATTTTCTTGACCTCTTCTCTGACAAACTCGCGGCGATCGGAAGATAAGTGTCGTGTCTTCTGCACGACCGGCTTGGCTGCGGGATCGACGGCTAGCTTGTGGCAAATGACCGATCGATCGATCCCGGGCATGTCCTCGGGTCCCCATGCAAAAATATCAGCATACTCCCGGAGTATGCCCAGAACCTCTGCTCGGAGCCTAGGGGTGAGGGCCCGGCCAATTTTAATCTTCCTATCCGGGCGGTCCTCGGATAGGGGAACTTCTTCTATCTCTTCGGAAGGTTCGGGTTGCTCCTTCCGTTCTTTAGCCTCCTCTTTGGCTATAGTATTCACCCGGGAAGACGGACCGGAATCGCGTCTGTTGACCGCTCGGGTGTAGCACTTCCGGGCGGACTGGACATCGCCACGGACCACACCGACCCCATTGGGGGTGGGGAATTTCATGCACAGGTGGGGCATAGAAATTATCCCACCGATCTTCATAATGGCGGGTCGGCCCAAGATTATGTTGTGGACACAATGGAGGTTGACCACAACAAACTCCAGCTCCGTCTTGATCGACTTTGGAGGCGTGCCGATCTCTACGGGGAGCGTTATCTTTCCCTCGGGGTAGATCAAGGCCCCGGTAAATCCCGACAGTGGTACACCGACCGGAGTCAGCTCCTTCCTGTCGAAGCCCAGCTTCTCGAAGACGTCCAAGTAAAGGACGTTCACACTGCTGCCCGTGTCCACCATAACCCTTTGGACATCCGTCCCCTTGACATCGATCGTGACCACCAGCGCCTCCATGCCGTGGTCGTTGCTGCTAGGTTGGTCCTCAAGGGTGAAGGTTATGGGTTCCATCCTCTGTCTTTTCCCGGTCTCCCGAGAATCTACGATCGCGACCGGGCAGTTCGTCCTCGATCGAGATGCATCTTCTAGCCCGCCAAATATGACGTGGATGGTGGGCTTGCCGGATGGTCGGCTGCCAGATGGGGGGTCAAGGTCCCGTCGGTCATCGTGACGATCGTCCCTTCGATCGTCTCTTCGGTCCTGACCCGACCGATCAGAGCGGTGGTGGGATCGCCTGTGATCCCTCCGATCGGTACTTCTCTTGCTATCCTCTCTCTTCCCTACGCACTTGTCCAATTTTCCCAGATTGAGCAAATCTTCCAACAATTGGCGCAAGTGGGTACACTCCTCGGTATCATGCCCGGCGCATCGATGGTAAGCACAGTGCTTACTCTTATCAGGGCCGTCTCGATCGGGATGGGGGAGTTTGATGAGGTTGCAGGACTGGGCATATTGCATGGCCTCCGCTGCGGATCGGTTCAAGGCCGTAAACTCGCCATGCCTGGTGCGGGGTCGGGGATTGTCATCTCCCGATCGACGTTCCGCCCGGCCGGCCGGTTTACGGGAGGAAGAACCGTCCTCCTGCGAACGCTTGACGGCATTCGCCTCGCCTGCGTTAGCATAATCAGTGACCCTTCGGAGGGCCTCCTCATACGTGGTCGGGGGGTGGAGGATGAAATCCTGGTACAGATACCCCGCCCGGAGGGAGATGTGAAGCATGTGAGTGGCGGTCGCATCATCCATGGGCTCAACCTCCCCGACCGCTGCCTTCCACTTGATGAGGAAGTCGGACAAGCTTTCCCCTTCGAGCTGCTTGGCCTTTTCGAGGTACATATAAGACTTCCTCACCACTTTGGAAGTAATGAACTTCCGTACAAACTTGATCGCCAGGGTCTCAAATTTGTCGATCGACCCCGGGGGCAGGGTTCGGAACCATTCTGCCGCCCGACCGGTGAGGGTTGAGTAGAAGGCCCTGCACATCACGGCGTCTGAAACGCCCTTCAGCATCATATTGCTGAAAAAATCATTCACGTGAGCCTCAGGATCTGTCCGACCGTCGTAACTCTTCTCTCCCGAGACCTTTAAGTCGAGCGGGTAAGGCTGGGCCATTACCGCTGCTGTGAAAGGCGTCTGGTGTAGGGTCGATCGGTCGGCCGGGGGTGCTGTAGGATACGCACTCCTGAGCTGCGCAACTTCAGCCTGGAGGTTGTAGAGCAGTCCTCGGGTTTCGTTGAGCTCGGCGGCTTGGGCGGCTTGGGCTGTATCCCGAGCGCGTCGCCGTCGGTGAGATCTCGACCCGCTGTGCCCAGACGAAGCCTCCTGGCTGGCTTCCTGCATCTGCGCGTCTTCTAACCGGCGATCTGGATCTTGGGGTCCCAGTCTCTGCCGCATCTCCGGTCGAAGACGGTCAAAAGCTACCGCTCGGGCAACTTCCTCAGGATCCTCCGCTCGGGCAGGAGCTTCCTCTTCTTGCTGGACCTGCGACGCCTCCATCGCAACAGCACCCCCCGACCCCAACCGCGAACGAGCCGAGCGTCGAGCCCGGGAAGTGGGCTGATGCTGCGGCTCTACCTGAGCGGCCGGGTATACTGGAGGGGCGGCGGCTGGAGCCGTGTACGCAGGTGTGTACGGCGCGTAACCGACCGGTGGTGTGTAATATACCGGCTGGCCTGGCCAATACCCGTATGGTTGGGGTGGGACCGGGTATGGATACTGACCGGGGTAGACCATCTGAGGCATCGGTTGCTGATATTGCTGACCGGGCTGCTGGTACCCTGGTTGGATGTACTGCACCGGCTGGTGGGCAGCCGGGTATGCATTCGATGGATGCGGTGGCGAGAGGTTGAGGTTGAGGTCGACCGTTTGACCTTGCTGTTGGGTAGCATGGTGATCGGATGAGCTCGCCGCATCCGCCTGGTCATCAGCAAAGTTGTTGCGTGCCCACGGATACATGATTGGTGAAGAGACCGGGTGCTCGTCGAAACGTAGCTTTCTTGCACGGGTTCCCCACAGACGGCGCCAAAATGATACTGCTAATTCTACGTAAGCAATATAAAGAACACAAGACCAAGTAAAGCAAGTAAGTCTTTATTGATCAAGGTAGAGGCCCTAAGTACAATCTACTTGGTTGCTCTGAGTACCGACTGACTGCGGTCGGGAATCTCTAGTTACAACCTATCGATCGTCCAAAAGTCCCCTACACTGTAGCTACTGTGGGTATTTATAGCCGCTGTGCCGGAGACAAGATTCCAGCCGTTCGGCATGCTCTCCACGTAGCCTCCACGTGTCCTCCTCCCGGGTGCCCTGTCTGTCGTCGTAGAGAGCCGCCACGTGTCTTTAGTCAGCTCTCTCGCCGAAGGACTACCGCTCGGGGTTGACACCATTGCTCGGGCGACTCCCGGTCGGTTCCCGACCAGGTTCTTCTCAAGGAGCCCGACCTGTTACCTGCAAAGACAGAGAAAAGGACAAAAGGCTCCTCGGTCGTGGTGAAGCTATGTCGGTCGGGATATTCCCTACCAGCCCTAAAATCCCCACGTTTCGTATGTACATAAATGTATAGTAAAATATACGTAATCTCCTAACATAATACATATAATCTAACATATATACATAATACACATGAACTCTTAACATAATATATATAAACTCTTAACATAATACACATAAACTTTTAACATAATATACATAAATTTTAAGGCGCACAATGCATTGTGCACCTTGGTGCATGATATAATTTGCGTACTTTTAATATATTAAAAATGTACATGATATTCGTGGTCCACACAATAATTTGTCATTTTTTTGGGTCTAAATTGGATTAAGAAATAGAGTTGAGAGGGGTTAGAATGTAAATATTGAAGAGATGGAGTCTAAAGTGAAGAAGAGCATAAAGTATAGAACTATAGGATATCAAAGTGTAAAAACTGGAAAGGGCGTTATTAGCCCTGCAAAAATGCAACATAAGAGGGAAAAAAAAAAACACAAAGAGGAGGGGGGTGGTTTGATATCTGGCATGCACCCATGACCTCAATTGCTAGTGCGACCAGGGGTGGCAGACCGCTAGCAACTAGTTTTGGTCACAACGACTTAGCGTCATTTGGATCTCGCCCCCTTCAGTCATTCGATTGGTCTGTCTTGGTCCCTCGGACCTCTTGAGTCTCGATCAAACCAGAACGGGGGAGGGGTGGATTTTTGGATTCCTAAGCTACATGGCAGGTTGGCAGTGAAATTGACGATTGATGGGGTATGTGTGTGGTTGTGGTTTGTTGACTACCATGGTCTATTGGTCTCCCGTGATCACGGCTCTCCATAAGAACATCCTCAGTAGTTAGAGATTTTTTCTCAGATTTTGATGGGGCTCAACATTCACCTCATCATCCACTATCTCACTCAATCACAAAAACTCTTCTTCCCATTAATTTTAAGTTTTTTCTCAACATTTTGTGGACCCATCATTTTACCACTACTATATTTTAATTATTTTTTTATTTATTATCATTATAAAAATTAATATTTTTATTATATTTAAATTATACATATCAAAATTAAAATAAATTTAAAATTATAAATATTTAGAATTTTTTTTAAATTATAATTTTATCACATGGAAATTTAATAATAAAATTCAACATGAAAAACTAAATAAATAATTTAAAAAAAAAAAAAAAAAAAAACTGGCCGTTGGCCAGCTTTTAAAAGCAAAAAGAAAAAAGAATAATAAAATGAATTTCAATTGATCGTCCCAACCTCCCAGACAGTGAAACACGCGTCTCACAATTTTATTATTAACTTTTTTTTGACAAAACCTCCATTCTTGCAGGAGGAAGAAACTCTCCAAAATCTCTCCTCCACATTTGTTAAGAACCTCTTCACCTAGTTTTTTTACTGTTTGAAAATCCAAGAACAATCTCCTTTTGGGAATGCTCTAATAGTATAAAAGATGGTGGCGAGGGGAGGGGGGGTGGTCACTTCCAACTGGTTCAATTAACGAGGTTTGACTAAAATTTTTTAGTTTAATTTTTCACAATATTTAGTTCAGTATTAGTGTATAAAATTTATATAATAAAAAACTACATTAAAATTATTATTAAATACAAAAATAAATTTTAAAAATTAAAAATAATTAAAATTATTAAAGAAAATAAGCAATGAAGAAAGAATTGGTTTGACCAATGATCAATAAATAGTAATAGAATAGGTAAAATGTGACTGATGAAGTATTATTTTTCAACCCAAGTTCCTAATATCAACCTAGTTTTATGGTGGGATCAATTTATTAAAAATCATCATTGGCGTCATTTTGTGGAAATTGCAACGAAAAGTATGTGTTCCTATAATCAACCCAACCGGCCAACTTCATGCCCTTGTTATTTTAGTTCACTTACGAAATATATCGGAATGCTTTGTTTTTATTATTAAATTCATGTTCGTATTCTTTATTCCATTGTTAGTTACGTTGTTGTCTTGTTTCATGGTGAATTTATTAACCTCCTACTATACCTTTGTTTTCTTCCTGCAATTTCTTTTGTTTAAATTCATTTGGATTGATATTTGGTTTTCAACACTTTAAATTATTGAATTAATTATTTTCAAATTTATTTATTTCATTGCATTAATTCCTTGTGACTTCACCCTTACTTGTCGCATGCTATATTACAATTAATTCGTGCACTTACATGAATAATTTAAAATTTTTCATCATAGTCCTATTCTCGGGTCAGTTTCTCGATTGGGATAAATGAGAGATCCAACTGACACATAAGTTTTCGGAGTAAATGTCGCACAATTAGAATTAACCCTAACCCTATGAGAGCTATGCCTAGTGTCCACCCATTGGTCCAAGAATTGGCCAATAATCAGCTTATGGGTGGCGCAACAGTTGTGGAGAGGGGGATAAGTGTTTTATTGTCCACATTTTCACCTCTTATTTAAATTATTTTATTCGTGAATCATTCCAAATTAAACTTCATGTGGATAATGACTATTTTTTGTTATTTTTATCTTAGGAACACTCGTCCACAAGAAGTAAGGAGTTGGAAAGCTTTGTATGAAAAAAAAAAAAAAAAAAAAAAAAAAAGAGCAATCCAATGGCAAATTTGTATGCAAAGTGGACAAAGATGATGGGAGCTAATATGAAGCTAAGAAAATGGATAAAATATTTCTAAGAGAGCCAAAGAATGATGCTTTCAGATCAATGGTTTTGATCATTTGGGCAAATCAAGGTAAAAGTGGAGCAAAAGATCAAGGTATTCCAATCAAGTGATTCTTGTTTCATTGCAAAGAAAAATCAAAGGGCTACAACTTTTGTGAAGACCATCAATCCTAATTCTGACGTTAAAATTGTCAAATAAAAAAACGACAAGGAAGTTAGTCTTCCAAGGGCGTGGAGTAGCCCGTGTACCACTACTATCCGAAGTGATTTTTTTATTGTTTGCCGCACGGGCATGGATTAGTCTGTGGGGCTATCACATGTTCATCATTTAAGCTCGTTTTTAGTCATTTCTACTCAGTTTTAACCCCTAGACAAGCCCTAGCTATTTTCTACTCTTTCCTTTCATATTTTAGGGTTAGATTAATTAGGTGTAGATTTAGGTTCTTTAACATAATTGAAGCTTGTATTGAAGGTCTACTATTGGTTTTCAATATTTTACCATCCATTTCAATAGATAAGTCAATTCCAATTTCCTTTATTGCAATCTTACCTTTGTGATGGTTTACTTTGAATTATTATCTTGTGTTTGTTATGGATTGCTTCTTTAGATCTTGAATTTATTGTTATTTCTATCATGACCATGTTTGAATAGTCATCTTTGAAGGGAGATATGAATGTAGATTAGGTGTATGGAGATGAGACTTGAATTGGTTGAATAGGAGAGATGAGACTTGACTTGGATGTAGTCATACCTATAGTTCGGTTTCAGTTCAGAATCGACAGTTCCCGATTTTAGAATTGGCTGAACCAGAACCAGAACTAAAACTAGAACCTTGTATAAATATTCCACATACGATTTCGGAACTGACGGTTATATGAAATATTGGAAATTTTCCATTCTAAAATATTTTAAAAATAATTATATGAAATATTTAAACTTCAAAGTTGACCTATATAAAAAATAATAATTGTTATAGTTAAACTTTAAAATGTTATTTAAAATTTAAACTTTAATCAAATAATTGTTAAACTTTAATTAAATAATAATAATTAAAATTTATTTGTTTATTTTTATTTTTTTTCGATTCCAAATATTATGGAATCGGAGTTGGAACCGTCCATACAATTTCGGTTCCAACAGTGCATTCTTCAGTTTGAATTGGACCGTTATAATCTCTAGTCTCTACTTGGATGATGTTGATCAACATTATTTAGTTTCAATTAAAAAGTGATTACCTAATCTAGACTCAAGGGATTGATCAACCATGGTTCACCTTTGAAAAAAGACAAATATGAGATGTTAACGACACTCAACGTTTGATGAATTGCCTCTAGCTTTGACCTCGGTGTACTTCTTCCGTTTCTCAGTCATGAAGGCCCACTTACCGTACTCCCAGACTAAGTTCTCCCCGACCACGGTCTTGAGCATAACTGGAAGAACAGTTCGGCAGTGGCTTTTCCTTCCCTCTTGTTAATGTTAATGTCCACGTTATTTGGTGTGAGCTTTGAAGAAAATGCTTTAATTAATATGAATGCTAATTATTTTGTGATTAATATTTGGAGGATGATGTTGCCTAAGGGGATTAATAGAGTCGTTCAAGACTTTTTAAAACTTTAGAAGACTCTATAATTATAAAGTCTATATAAAAAATATTCATAGACTTTTATCATAAATAAAAGTCTACAAAAGTCATTGAAATTCTAAATTGAATACATCCTTACAAACTTTCAATGATTTTGATTCTTATCATTTATAATTTTCTTACAAAACATTTATAATATATCATAAAATTCTTCTTATTATATAGTTCTTCACTCACATCAACATTCTCAACAATATTACTTTTATCTATAGTATGTTGCGACTTATATGCTAATTACTTTATATATATATATATATATATATATATATATATATATATATATATATATATATATATATATATATATATATATATATATATATATATATATATATATATATATACTCAAAAAGAAGGAATCGATTACAAGGAGACATTTTCTCCTGTATCAAAGAAAGATTCACTTTGGATCATTCTGGCATTAGTTGCACATTTTAATCTTGAGTTGCAACAAATGGATGTGAAAACCGCTTTCCTAAATGGTGATCTAGAAGAGGAGGTTTATATGAAACAACCTGAAGGTTTCTCTTCTAGGGGTGGTGAGCATTTAGTATGTAAGCTTAAGAAATCCATATACGGTTTAAAACAAACCTCCCGTCAATGGTACATCAAATTCGATGGGGTAATTTCTTCATTTGGTTATATATATATATATTGTGTCATGGTAGCCTGCTCTAGTCCCCTTACGAAACTTTCGTTATTGGGTTAGCCATACACTTCACATGTTTCTAGCGATTCACATGGCATCATCAAATGATACAAGTCTTGGATAAGAATCTACAACGCACTAGAACGCCCTTGTTGACAATCCTTTACTCCGAAAGCATCTAGGGTTCCTCGAACAATGTGATATCTCACACCGGATAAATCCTTAACCCTTCCCCCTCTTACTAAGACTACAGAATGTTCTTGTAAATTATGGCTGATGCCGGGTATATAAGCAGTGATTTCAAATCCAGAGGTTAATCGTACTCTGACAACTTTACGTAAGGCAGAGTTTGATTTTTTGGGGGTAATATATATATATATATATATATATATATATATATATATATATATATATATATATATATATATATATATATATATATATATATATTACGATTATAAACATAAAAAGAATAAAAATCAAAATATATAAGTATTTATATGAATATTATAAAACATATACTAAAATTTGACGATATAAACACACAATAAAGTAAAAATAATATTATTTCAAATTTTTAGATGAAGATTATAAAGTTTAGGAGAGAGAGAAAAATTGGTAGAGTTTAGGTATGAGAAAAATATAGGACAATGAAGAAAAAAATAATTTTATTGAATTTAGATAGGTTTATAAAGTTTAAATTGAGAAAAAAATATAGTTTAAATAGAGAGAGAAAATATTCAAAGTGGTTAAAAAGAAAATTTTGAAATTTTAGGGGGGTGTATTCAATCATGACTTTGATAGAGTTTTAGACTTTTATGAATTTTAAAAGTTTGCACGTATTCAATTCAAACTTTTAGATAGTCTTTAAAAGTCAAGCGGTATTCAATCAAGATTTTTAAAGAGTCTTTAAAAGTTGTGTGGTAAGACTTTTAAATAGTCTTTAAACGTCATGTGGTATTCAAAAAGTTATGAATTTTTGTAAACTTTTTAATTTTAGAACTTTTGTAGACTTTTCCTTGTCAAATATAAATAGTTGAAATCCAACCATCAATCCTAAGATTTCAAAATTTTATTTCTAAAAACTTTGAATATTTTATCTCTCTATTTAAACTCTATTTTTTTCTCCCTATTTAAACTTTATAAACCTATCTAAATTTAATAAAAAAAATATTATTATTCTATATTTTCCTCATACCTACCCGTCTACCAATTTTTCTCTCTCTCCTAAACGTTACAATCTTCCTATAAAAATTCAAAATAATATTATTTTTACTTCATTATTGCTTGTTTATATTGATTTTTATTTTTTCTATGAATTTTTTATAGCTAACTTTCTTTAGTTCTCCCTAAATACATGAACAAAGCAAATTTTTATTCTTTTTATGTTTATATTCGTAATATATATTTTTCCTTTTTTTTTTAACAATAGGTTACTACGAATGGCGAACTACTGTTTGTATACAACAATTTAGAGTTGTAAACAGTAGCACCTTGTTGTTGTTCGCAGTCTCAAATTGCTATTGCAAATAATAATTCTTTGCGTGATGCCTAGCAATATATCAAGTATAATTATATATATATATATATATATATATATATATATATATATATATATATATATATATATTATTAATATTATATTTTTATTATTTTTTATGCAACTTGTAATTATATTTTTAAATATTTTATTTAATCAATTCTTTTATTATAAATTTTATTGTTCAATATTGTTATGAATTTCTAACGAAATGATTTTTTTTTTTTGTTGATGTTTATTAATAATATATATAAGTAAGAGAACATTTCAATTTTAGTCCACTGACTATTGAGGTTGTGTTAATTATAACACTTGACTTTAAAAAATGTTAATTTAGTACTTTGACTATTGCAATTTCTTTCAATTTTGGTCACGCCGGCCAAATCTCACCAAAAAAATTTAATAGGTCAAATAATGAGGATATTTTAGTCATTTTACTCATCTGTTCTTTCTTCTCCGATGATCTCTCCATTTCCGGCACGATTTCTTCTCTCGAGTACCTATAATTGCAGCCCGATGTGAAAGCTTTGGTTCGCGGCGCACATACTTTCCGATGCCCAAATTTGGGGATTACGAGCTGGGTTAAGTTGCCGCATCCACGACGCCGATTTCGAATGGGAGAGGTTGATCTTTATGGGGACAGAGATACAGACTTGCTCGGCAAAAGGAGTGGGATGGGTGAAGGGTTTTCAAAAGTTCAATGTTGTCAAACACCTGGATATCCCCATCCAAGTATATCATCTTGCTATACTCCACAAATTGCATTCAAAAATCAAATTTTAATCCCAATTTATGTCTTTGATGGTTAGTCATACCTCCCAGATATGGAGCTTAAAGTAGTTGATGATGTAATACGCCATAGCAATTTTAATCCCAATTCACTGCTCTGCTTGAGATTTAGATGAAGGAAATGAAAAGATTTGGCCAGAAAATGGTAGCTCGTCGGAGAAGAAAAGGAAGAAAG